AATGAAAACCAGTTTAACAAAACATGTTTTGCTGGTGTGAATGGGGTATAAATCTCCAAAATGACTAGCACATTGTCTAGTACATCAGTTATGACAATTTGGTGTGCTAACACACAACATTATCCCATAGATGATAGTTTTCCATACTCTCAACACATGTCTACCTTATCACGAGAATATACTCCTGAACACTCACCTGACTATGGGCGTGCCGGTCTCAGAGGCGTGGTAGAACAAGGTGTACCAATACGGCAGCAGTGAGTACCTCACACGGATGGCATCTCTGATCAGATTCTTATACTGCTCATCGTAAAGCCAAGGCTCCCGGCGTTTGGTGTCCAAGTGAGCGTGTGCGCGGAAGAATGGCAGGAAGGCAGCCGCCTGAAAAAAATGAAAAACAAAAAACACCCATTAGAACACAAGGTGTTAGAGTGTGGACCTTTCCTTCGGTCCAGTTGATACTGACTTTCCAAATAGCACATCATGCTTGAAGCTTCCAATAACGGTTAAAATCACACATGCGTCTTCCCAAAAATTAAACCTGCGGTTGGTGCAAGCGACCTGTTCGCGTCCATAAAAAAGGGAAATGGATCACTGGAGCGGCATCCAACTGAATGCCACCACTTAACAAGTCATGATAACATCACAATGGAATTACCCAATAAAAACACACTGGAGTCAAGTGAAGGAAACCTGTTGAAAAAAAGTCACAGAAAAACAGCGAAGGCCGCGAGCAAACTTTCTTTGTTCCCGCCCCACAACCCCCCTTAATTTAGCTAAGAAAAAAAAACAAGAAAAAAAAAGGAGAAAAACGAATAAATCATGTGCGAAGAAAGAAAACCTACCTGATACCACCTGAGTAACAGCTCTGGGTCAGGATTTTTAAAGAAGCCACCGACATCAGCTAAAATAATAATAATAATAAAAAAAACAAAAGAAAATCACATGAAGTCAACCGTCGTGGAAACAAAGCAGCTACGAACTTGAGTATTTCCAAAATCGTCTCACCTCCGGAAAACGGCAGCCCAACCAAGTTTAGGGTGAGGATCATGGGAAGAGATGCCTTTAGGTGGCCCCAGTCCGCCGTGTTGTCTCCCGTCCAAATGGGACCTAGAAATCAATTAACAGTTCCGGTAAGCTAAATGCACAAGAAGCTTCCATTGGGAAGTTTCAGTTTGGAGGTCCAAATCATTCCGGGATTACATTGGTTTGATTGGTCTAGAAATTTCGTGCTACTCTCTCACAACCAATCAGATGCAAAATCGCCATTTGGTCACTTACGTTTTTCCGTGTTCCACGCGCTTTGTTTGTTTTGCTTTACGCTTTCACTGGCTCCTTGCGATATTTATTTTTTATTGATTGCCTGGTGCGCTTAGCTTGGTTGCTAAATTCAGTTTTAAGCGCTTCAGTTGTCAGCTTTGTATCCTGTTTAGCACGTCACTAGAAATGAACTAACATCATTTTCAAGCCGGTATCACGTTGCTTTTGTTGTTTTATTTTTTCTTCGCAGATAACAATTACTTACCGTTTCTTTGGGTTCCTGCAAAAAAAGCTCGCGACAGGACAAACGGTCTTTCCCTTCCCCCTGAACGGTCTATCTGTCCTTGCACTGTTGCCATGTGCTGATAGAAGCCGTAGATGTTGTGCACATCGCGGTGTTCCCAGTCTCCGAAGTGAAGCGCGTCTTTATGCATGGTTATTTCCGGTCCATGGAAAACCGAGGGCTGTAAGGCAGGAAAAACGTTGCGGTAAAAACGAATAACATACTTCTTCATACATAAACTGCGATCAGCCCTGCCTTTGAGCCATCTCATACTATACTATTACCAGAAAAAAAAAAGTTCTCAAGTTACGCTAACCTCATTCATGTCATTCCAGGTAAAAAGAGTTTCTGTGGAGCCCTACAAGAAAACATCACAAATGATCAGAGAAGATAATTCGACAACACTTCCTCAGCTTTGCGTCCAAACTTCCTAAATCATGTATTTTAACTTATGCGTTTACTCATGAGTTTCCCCACCGAGTGAACCACTCCGACAGGAAAGGAAAATTTTCCTCTTTGCTATTCTGACTTTGGAGAGATCAACAGCATTACCTAACCACCGTCTTTGAGATCGAAGATAAAAAGAAAAAGGTGCATGTGATCATTTTTTTTAATTACTCTCTCGCAATCGTAGCTCATCTTTGCTCTGTGTCGTCGTGAAGAAAGCTCCGAATTAAATACTAACAATGCAGTAAACTTTACAAAACCCTTATATCGGAGACAAATTGTCCCAAAATGTGACTTACCTGATACTCGCTCAGAGCAAATTTACTGCCCCACCACTTGCGAATTTCCGGACTGAGGAAATCGATCCACGATGAAGTTCCTATGAATTAAGGAAATTATACATAAGGACGCTAAAAACGGTTCTCTTTCTCTTAAGCTTACCGTTTGGCAGATCAATTCAACCATTTTCAGTTTTCATAAATTATATCGATGATGGCGCCATGATAAACTCTCATTCACCATTACGTTAAAGTGAAAGTCTGGCAGGAAAAAACTAAAGGTTTTCTGGGTCATTTATCGGCTGATGACGCGGTTTTCTTCGAAGGGGAAGAGCGAAACTTTCGCCTTCCTCACTTATTATTGTGCCTTATACTTTAAGATTAAAAGTCACTTCGCCACCACTTTGCGATGCGTTTTGATTCGTTCTATTATATACATAGCATCACCTGGCCAACACCAGTTCTCGTATTCTCCGCCATCTTTGTTCTTCACATAATAACCCAGTCTTGTCGCTTCCTGTGAGATTTAAGCATAAAAATGAACAAACCTCATGACTATACGAAGCTAAGACATTCGGAATTGCGGTGCCATGTCTTACAACTGAACTGCTACATACAATCCAAATACTGCTGAGATCGGAAAGATACAAAGAATCTTAAGTGAGTACTGAGCAAAGAAGATTGAAAACCACAAGAGTAAGGTTAAATCCTAGGTTCCAAAACCAAATGTATTTTTAAAAGATTTTTATTTCAAACATACTCAATGAACGACTGTGACTCACTGCGATGCATCAAGACTCACTCGTTCGTTCTTCTGATGCATCGCAACTCGTGAACAAAAATCGTTCGTGCGCACTTTCCATGGAATGATCTCTATTAACTTGCCTCATGAATGTGATATCCACCCTCGCGTTTGATGTGGGGATCAATGATAGTAACCATCTATAAAATACAATAAAATTTATTAGATAAATGAACAAGTGAAAAGAAAAACAAACAGAGAGAATGCTCATGCACTGTACTCAACAAAAGGTTGCGAAATTGAGCAAATTTTGTATAGAGCCGTTTTGCCTCTCACATTTATGTCAAACGGCTAAAAATTCTCCTACTCAAGTTCTATATATTCTCTAGTTATTGGCAATTAGAATTTCTCATCCACGATCTAGAGAAAAACTGTCTTCTTTATATCTTAACCTTCTATGCAATGTATTAATGCTGTAAGGGGTAGTTCCACTTCATGAATAGTGCTATTGCAAGTTTAAAAGGTTAACCAAAAAGTATGCTGCAGAATCCGTGTGATTTTCATCTTCGCCGTGAAAAAGAAGGCATGACCTTGTGACATGCGCGCCCACGATGACTGATTATAAACAGCATCAGTAGAAGACAAAGTTTCTAGATCTCGTCATTCGAATTTTTGGATAACTGTTCGTTGATGTCTTTACCTTTCGACCTTTTGACGCCAAGTTTTTCTGCATCTGGTCAGGCGTTGGGAATTTATTCTTGTCCCAAGTCATATACCTACATTGAAATAGGTAAACACCGCAGCAGTAAGTTACCGCAAATAATATACGCCAAAGACAATTATGACTGATCTGAGTCTTATGATGAGGCACGTCGCTAAGGAATACTTTGAAATCATATCTTTTTGTTTGTTCTGTGGCTGTTATTTTTTCCACTTAATAACACCAATAAATGACGGTAAGGGCCTGGCTTTAAAAGAACGGATGTGGGCATCTGAGACTGACTTCTTTTACCCTAAAGTCCGATGTACAGAGCAGAAATTTAAGCTTAAACGATTTCTATTTAAAATCAAGTCCTGATAACCATTTGGTTAACCAATACAATTTTGCTCGTCAGACAGTCTGTCTGGAATGTCCCTTTTCGGCTTTTATTTTTTGTTTGTTTTTTTTTCCTTCCGGTAATTTCCAGAAATGTGTATGTCGGGATGCGAGTTATTCATTGAAGGTTGCCGCTCAAACGAAACAACACAGAGGAGTGAATGCATTTATTCATGCATTTTTTTTTGTACTCACTTCTTTCCATCAGTATGTTCAATGTCCAGCCACAGAACATCATAGGGAATATCATGATCGTCAAAACCCTTATCAACGCTGAAAAAACCACCAGTAAAACACACCACTTAGCAATGAAGGCTTATTTCAGATCAAAGAGTATTGCTTTATAATTAGATACGACATGCATTATGGTGATCAAAGCGATATAGTTTTCATATATTTTCTATCAATAACTTTCCATCACCCAAACTTAAATTACAGCCTTGGAAATGATACTGCAGATTTCCATGCCTTCCCGAAAATTTTCCACGACCTGAATGGACCTTGACCAAAGAATTTCACTTAGTTACAATTTTTTTCACAGAATCCTTTTGCTTCGCTTGAGTTGTCTTCAAGACGTATATTGAGCCTCTACTGCAGTAAAAATTGGTAGATTAAGCTGTTTTTTTCCAATTGAAAAAAAGAACGACAGCCAGAAGTTAATGCATTAAGGAAATTTTTTGTCTTTCTCAGGGCCAAAGGGAGCCAATCAGATCTCAGGATCTACCTCACTGGTAGACTCATTGAGGCAGTGAAAATAAACAAAAAAATTAGTAGATGAAGAAAACAGAGCTGTTCAAGTGCAACTTACTTTTTGACGTCATCTTCATCATTGTAATTCCATCGACTTTGATGATAAGCAATTCCAAACAGCTATCAAAAGAGATCATCAAACATGTAAGATTAGAAAGATAAGATCTAAATGCTCTACTATTTTTAGAAAGGTGGTTCCAAAAAATTATTCATTCCATTTCATGTCTCAGAAACAAGGAAAAACTCAGTTCAACTTCTGTGCCGGAAAATGACTTGCACAGACCTTACTATTAGTCTAGACTTTCACTATACACCAGGCCTCAGTTGATCGATGAGTGGATAACGTTATTCCTTGGATAAATCTCGATCAGGTGGATAGCGCAGTACGTTTTGTTAACACTTATCCACTGGATAGCAATTCATTTGTCAGTTAAAGTTATCCATCCATCTAACAATCAGGGTCAGGATATCAGTTTGTAAAATCTATCTCACACTGAATTCTCAAAAAGGAATTTAAACAAAAATTGGAAATCATCTGTGAGAGCTGCGAAAACTGATATAGAGCCAGATAAAACAAAGAAGCCAGACTTACTGGTGGCAGGGCAGTTGTGCCAGTGAATGCAGCATACTCTTGGAACAGGTCATGAGGTTTTGGACCCAACATGACAAACACATCAATGATGCCACTCTCTGAAATCCAGTGGGTGTCCACCTGAGGGACCTCCTCACTTCCCTTGAAAAAGGACATCAGTGAGTTTAACATGGACTGCAAAATAAAAGAACAGTGGAACACAAGAGTAGGCTAGGCCTTTATGGTTTAGTCAACTTTATGTTGACTAATGCTCAGTTGTGTCCAATGCTCCACTCAAAGAAACAATTTATTGGATGCAAGATTTCTTTTATGCAATATGTATGTGCATGCCACTTGAAGAGAATTTATGGATAAGTTTTTAAAAAAAAAAAACAAATGACAAAGACTCTAATTTTTGCTCATCAAAATATCAATGTTTTTATTCATAATTGTTACTTTTTTTCAAATAATTTAATGTGTGAAGAAGTTTCTGCATTGCAAATTTTAAGGCATTTCAAAATGGTTCAGTGTTAGAGCATTTGACATAACCTCACAAAATGAAACATAAATTACCTGCTTTATTAAACTACATTTCTCATTATGAGAAGCTATGAAAAACATTTCTGACCTGAAGCAGGTTAGCACTTAATTATACCATATGTATACTTTATTAATCCAGGAGAGCCTATTAAATGTTAGCCTTGTCAATACCACTTAAAATAAGTTTCAAAATTAGACTTGAATATCATTAAATTCAGAGATTATTAAACAAGTTTACCATAGTTTCAAATTTATATTTCTTTAATTAAATTTACTTAAAACCTTAAAGAAGTATTTGAAGATGTTAAAACATGTTATCTTAATTAATGATTTCAATTGCACAAAAATCTCATTTGAAAATTTGAATATCAGAAAATCAAATTTATTTGTTACAATAGTTATTATGTTGATGTTAAATGGTATTTGTGCTATTTCACCCCCAAAAATCATCCCTAAACCTCATCTCTTATTTCTATCTTAACCTTAAACACCCTAACATCAGTATCCAAATTCTCCATACTCTTCCTTATACATTTCCTTTGGTACTGATGATGAGAATTCATTTATCAATCAAAGCTTCTTAGGTTGGTGATCATTTCCTTTATTCTCATGATCTTATTCTTGTGAATGATTCAGCAGTGTTAATGTAGGGAGGAAATAGATAATGATCACAATTGAGGTTTGAACAGTTAGTGACAAAATAGATTTAAGAAAATACTCTCCTACCTTTCTGGCACTGGATGAACTGATGTCCACCCACGTTTCAGCTGCATTCATCCAGAACACACCAACTGTGCGTGCAACACTGAAAGTTCAGAAATCAGAGTATGATGGAATCCGATAACTGCTCTTCAGATCAAACCTCTTCTTTGTAAACTTACTAGTGAGTTTCAGTGAAAGTGAATAACTCTGTGATTACTTACCTATGAGCAATCATGACAGGAATACTGCCATAAAGAGCCATCCTGGAGTCCAGCTCATACTCAAACACATCTAAGTTGTACAAACGGTATGGCTCTGAACCACTGAAAAATGAAAATACAGCAATTAAACAGAAGCACCTTAATGCCTGACCATCTGGACCAGTGTATCATAGGTCTAGTTAATTCTCAAAGTAGTGTCAGCCTGTGTGACAAATCTTGAAGTCTCTTCTCTTTTGAATTGACATCTCATAGCTGTTATTAACAATAAAAAAGAGTTTTGTTTAAAAGAAGTCTTCTAAAATTTTCAGACAGGTGTCCTAGTGTCTTAGTGAGTCTAGGACTTCACCATTTATCACCCCTGGTATATAAGGATGTGCATAAAAATAATAACTCGGTTTAAAATTAAGGTAAACACTGGAAGCCTTATTGAATCACTGCTGAGAACCAATTTGATATAAATACATTTCATCATTGATACAACCAGTCAAAGGCTTCATACCAGGAGTACAACATGATTGTAAAAATCCCTCTACAGCAGAACTTACACTGTTGTCTTGAGAGCTAGGGTGTCTGCATGTTCTGGGATTCCATACACATGTTCAACACCAGGGAATGAGATGTCCAAACCAACAGAACAGGGACCTGAACGATGAAAGTTTAAAGGTAGAGTAAATACCATGGCAACAAACTTACATGCATGACAGCTTTCCACTAAGTTTCACATTTGATTAAAGAAAGGGTTATAAGCAAAAATTATCAAATTCTTCAAAATTTTTAACATGTCCATATCTTAAACAGCTACAGTGTAACATCAAGTTTCAGCTTTTCTTTTCTGTGTTTTTTTTCCCTTCTGAGCTTTTTAAAAAGGGATTACTTACTGCATGGACAGAACTTATGTTGAATTACCTCGTGGTCGAGAATCATGATGCTCTTTAAAGTTTTCTTCCCAGTTTTCTTCTTCGACTCTTTCTTCTTCTTCTTCTTTTTTCTCTGCATTTTCTTTCTAGAAAATAAATACCACCCCAAATCACACATTGACATCACAAGTATAAATCCTTGTCAGTACCTAAGGAAATGGAAGGAGAATATGCATACTGATTATAGGGTGCAAAAAGGTTAAAACCTGAATTTCTCGTACCGATTCTGGGTGCTCATCTGACTTTTCCTCCTCATTTTCTCCAGGTGGGTGACCTTCTCCATCATCATCTTCAACCTTGACAGGAATTTTCCTAGTTGGGATACAGAGGGAGATAATATAGAGCTGATAGTGTATTAATTCCATCTCTACTGTATCAGGAGTGGAACCTTCATTTGGTGTGGACCCCTAACATGCACAGCAATAATATCAAGTTTAAGAACGATTGTAGCTTACTGTTTTTCTCTATAATGCTCAAAATTCATCAGCCCTCTTGAATTAACAGATACTGCCACTTCATTATCAACCAAAAAATCCAGGCGGAAAGGCTCAAATGTTAAAACAACACTGTTGTTATTAAATCCAATGTGGACACTCTCATCATCCTGTTTGAGTTTTTGGTTACTGAAAAATATTAATGAAAGCAGTTAAATATTGGAACAAACAGAGGCTACAGATAAATATCTAAAATGTTAGATCTATTTCTTTCAAACCTAAAACCAACCTGCTTAGAAAGAAAATAAAAACAAACAAACTGAAAATAAAAAAAAATAAAAGGATAAAACCACTACAAAACCAGTCAGGGGGATGCAAAATTACCAAACAAAAAATATTTAGGAGTACAATAAAGAATCTCCCCCAGGATTTCAATCTCTTCAAAATATGCTGCTTGTAAATTAATGGAGCAATTTTTTTTTTAACCTTTAACTCCCATAAGTGACCAAGACAGAATTTCTCCTTACATTATCTCAATACAATATCAACCAGACAAGTGATGAGAATAAAGAAAAAATTTCAATTTGGGATTAATTAGTTGATTTGATACTAAATTCTCTGAACTAACATTATAATAATTGTATGGTTGACAGTAAGGAGAGTTACTAATGAGATCTTGGGAGTTAAAGGGTTAAGATATTGACTACCAATGGATTTTTTAGTAAAGTTTTCTCTTGCATCTATATTTTTGTTTGTCTGAGACTATACCTTGCCAAATCTTTTTCTGATATCTTTCAAGTGCTTCATCCATGATAAAATATATTTTTAAATAGTTTCTCTATACAACATCTAATAATGTTATGCTAGCAAAACAATTTATGTCAAAGTAATTTAGTAATATCGACTGAGTTGATAACATAAATTGGCCACCGTAAAAAGTCTTAAAACTAAAGTTTCAAGTGTTAGCCATTTGTTAGAGCTCTGACTGTTTAGGGTGGCCAATTCATGTTATCAACTCAGTTGATCATTCTAGATTACCCTGCTATACTCTCCCACTGATGCAGCATCACAGTTTCTTTAGAAACTTACCCCCTCTATTAATTTATATGAAAGTTATATCATTGTAAATTCAAAATATGTCAGAGAAGTCAGTAACAGCGAAGAGCAGTTCTTAATTTACCAGGAGAAAAAGAAATTATCAGCCATGGCGGGCAAATAATATTATCTGGTTTGCAAAAAAATATTATGCATATCTTTAGAGCCTAGCCAGCAAATGAGATGTCAAGGCAAAACATGCACAAAGCACAGATCATTACAACACTTCCTCAAAGATTTGAAGTTCAGACCACAAAAAGGTTAAGTCATAGCCTTACCTTATAGTCTTTGGTTCTTGAATCAAGACATCTTTGACTTCATATCTTGGTCTAATTGGGTTCCGTTCATTAATTCTAAATCTTACTGTATTTTTCTCTAATGTTTGAAGCTTTAGACCGAGTAATACATTTGATTTCTTATTTAGTATATTAACATCAAGGGAGGAATCTGTAAATACTAGAGAATCTTTGACTACTGAATATGGAGACTCTCCTGGTTGAATTTCTCTATTATTCCTGTAAACAAAACAATAAAAACAAATGTAATTCATTCCTTCTCAAATATAACAAAAATTTTACTCCACAAACTTAGAGAAACAGCCACAATATATTTTTCATTCTTTCACTGTCATACCCTAAATGCAATTCTGATCATGTAGTCTGATTGCCCACATAAGAGTAGTCCGAAAAGACCTTAGTAGTGACTGACCTTCAAAAACTTTACCAAGTCCAGCTCCAGGGGTTTCATTAACATTTTCAGCTGGAAGACAACTAATTTTCACAGGCGGGCAAATTTTTTTGAACTGAACTTCTTTACAAGATGAACTTTCCTCAAGATGGTCAAACCAGGTGGGCAAAACCATCCTCATAACTAAACAATTTGCCAAGTGCCTAGCCTTAAATGAAACCCCTGCCGCTCAGTCCCTATAACATCTTCTACCAAGGTTGTTGAAACATCAACCACTACTCCTTATAACAGTTCTTCCTAGAACAACTCTTACCTGAGCAAACAGACTACATAATTAAATGTTTCTCTCAGGTTCAAAATAATGTGTAACTTAGAACTTCTAACAAAGGCGGACTTAATCAAGAAAAGCCACTGTTCTGATCATCACACATACTAATGTCACTGATTTTAGTTTCTGGTTGAAGTTCATTGTTTCTACAACCCATTCTAAGAAGGCGGCAACCCTCAACTTGAAGATACCAAAGTCGGCGGGCAACAGGAAACTATGGTCTATAGAAGTTGAACGTTATGGGCAGAATTTCCCACATCAGCATCTTATTTTTAGTTTAAATGAGTATACCAGAGGGGAGAAGCTTGCATGTGCCTTTACCCTTCAACTACCCCCCTTAACTGCAATTTGTCTATCATGGACTCCTACGGACATACAAAAACCCCACAATAAAAGTTGAGCTAAGCCAAGCTACCTTGTCTTGCAGAGACAGCCTAGCTCACAAACTGTCTTCCCACAAAAGAACCAAATAACTTCACGGAATTTAAAAGCAGACATCCAAAAGAATCTACTTCAATTTTTTCTGTAAATCAACTCTTCATGTAAATAACACAATGTAACATTTTAACCATCTTACTTGCAAAAGCTACTTTGCTCACACTTCTTAAAGTTTCCCTTATCCACGGCATTAATTTCTGGAATTATCCACACCAGAAGGAGTGAAACAATCCTAAAAATTAAAGAATAGAGACCAAAATCTACTTAGAAGGTTTTTATTAAATCTTGTCTGTGAGGTGACATTCTAAAACGGGATCTGCAATTCCATGTACGCATGTTCATATAGCACGTTTGTGGGTAAAAGTTATTGATGCTTAAGATAAGACCTGAAAGATTTTATATGAAAGCTTTTACATGAAAGTTTAATTTACTAAATATCATTAAGCAATGCAAAATCCCTGTTATGTCAAAAAATCTGAAATCAAACAGAGGAGTTTACACGTGTCGAGTTCATGGATCTTACATGCAATAGCATATGCGGTCATGCACTCCGAAAAAAATCGTTAGGAGGACTTAAACAGAGAAGACACGAGTAAAGGTGAAGTAAAGCGGTGGGTAAATTTAAAGAAAACAAAGCGATCACTTTACCTTGAGATATAAAAAGTAGCCATTGAACTCCACAGTATTCTCACCTCAGCTCTTCTCGATCTCAAGATTGAATGTTGGTGAGTGAACTGGGAAGGAATTGTCGGTTCAAACTCCCGGATGCAATTGAACGGAACTGTGGTGGACTGGGTACTACCCATTCTGTAGGGCTCCCTCTTCGAAGTAACCAACTATTCTTCAAAGTTTTGATCGCAGCATTTTAAACTTAAAAGCTACTTAGGAGGATCTGAAAACTTACTGAAAATGGTATGTTATCTTTCTTTAGTGCCTTGAAAGTGTCCTTGATAGACTGTTAACATTAGGGGTGCGATAGGGTCTCTAGATTTCAACACATTTTCTTGTCGACAAAAGCATCCCCTAAGCTGTTGCTTGTTGCTGTGGAAAGGCAGATAAATGTATTCGTAGTTTTGATATTGCTAGAGTTGTGGCGACATTTGGATCGGTGTTGTTTCATTTTCGATTATGCTTGCTTTCTTAATAGTAGCGCAAAGATAAGGCTGCAAAGCTCGCTTTTTAAGGACGATTCTGCTCTAGTTTTACTTTAAACTTAGCATCGTATGTTTAATATGTTGATCGAGTGTTTATAGCTGCTGCAGTTATTATTAGGAGGTGAACACGTCCAATACTTATTTAGACATACCACCTTCCTCGACGAACTTCGTTTCGGTTTTATCATATCTACTCAAGACTAAATCAATATGCGAACGTGTTGAAAATTTATCTCTGAATTCTCTTCCGTTCTTAGGGAAACGAAGCTTCTTTGCCGGGTGATATGGTGACACATTGTAAGTACAGTAGTAACGCTCTCGCGCGGCGTCTGTTATATTTTTGTCCTGCAGATCTTACGATTTCTCCTTTTTTATCCGCTTCCTATTTTCTCGATACCCGTGGTAATGATCTTCGTTTGAAACTTCAGTTGATGCAGACGAAATAAGACGCCTCGGGAAGAGATTTCGGAAGCTCGATTTGGACAAATCTGGTGCCCTTTCTGTTGACGAATTTATGTCACTACCTGAGTTACAGCAAAACCCTCTAGTCCAAAGAGTAATCGATATCTTCGACACAGATGGGAATGGCGAAGTGGATTTTAAAGGTTAGAATTAAATATAGCTTTTTGACTGTTGTATTATTTAATACATCGCTCGATCGATATCGTGAAAACATACGGGATTCATACGCAGTTTTGCATATTAGGCGATAATTTCGGCGGTAAATTTTTGTTTGCGAGGGGTGCACTGGGAAAATTTTCGTGTTACTTGGCGAGGAAACTATATCCTACATTCTGCTCCCTCTCCATGAAAATGCTCTCTCAGATTATTCAGATCTTGCGCTAAATCGCTAATTGAAAATATGTCACGTTATCTGCAATCAAACTCAGCAACTCCCAACGTTGAAGTCTTGGTGAAAATTTGCGAGCATTGTATCCGGTGTTTTTGCCCTCTCTGTTGAATTTTTTGAAACAGATTACAACAATTACCGATAATTTCACTTCTCATACACCAAGAAGTATTCATAGTTTTTGTCTTCCGCGAGCTTTACTGCGAAAACAAATCGAAAGAAGCCTTGATCGGGCACCTGCCTCCCAACGGTTTTAAGAATTTCGCCGAGGGACGGATCTAATTGTAGTGAAATTGGTATCCAATTAAAATGGTTTAAACCGGGTTTACGATTGATCTGACTTGCATTTGAGCCGTCCTTTTTTATTAAGTGTGAATGGAGTACTTTTTAGGGGCAGCAGCTGTATTTTCTGTTATCAGTTGAACGCGAAAGTCAGCCAAAACTAACTCGGTGCGCGGCCGAGGGGAGCACAATATATTGCGATCAATATTGAGTGTAGGCTCAGCCAATTTCCCGTTCTATGCTCACAGGGTATCTCGGAACCATTTAACCATTTAATTTTCAATGCAAACAGGTCTGGAGTGACTCCATTTGTAAAGTTATTGTCAGCGACGTGGATGTGCTTAGCAACTCAGTATTTTTCAAATAAATACGCATAAAATGTAATCGTACGATTTTTCTGTTAAAAATCAACCTATATTTTTAAGAATTTATGGAACACATCGCCGGAAAATTCTCGCAATTTAGGCACTAGTTCAAGGTCAGTTTATATTTTTGTGTGACATTCATACTTTTTGATACGACAAGCCAATTTGCTAAAAGTGAGCCCAATTTTAGGCTTGTCAATTTACATATTAAGTAAGAATTATGGTTTGGAAAACCCAGTCAAATTTTGATACTTAACTTTCAAACAAATTTGTCACAACAGTAAATAAGGTTGACATTATGATTCTTGAGCTGGATGAAAGTCCAACAAAAATACTCGATCTGTCAGGCAAATGTTGAGTTGTAATTTAGAAGGCAACCTCTGGGTGGTCTAGTTAATTTGCATATGTAGCCAAAAGCTAAACTATTCATTGAGTATAAACATGTTAAAAATTAATGAGGATGCCGTGTTTTTCTCTTGCGGAAAAATGAATGTTTTGGAGGAAATTAAGACTTATTTTAATAGGGAATATGTCTTGGGAAAGGCACTTTGTAAATGAGCAAATTCTGCTCAATATGATTTCTAGTTAAGTTGGAAAAAGTTAAATTATTCTTGTAAACTGTGTTGATTTTCGAAGATACTGAGCTGTAAGCTGAATAGAAATGATTATCATTGCTGAGGATAATACAATGAGAGTGCTTTCCTCAAAGAGTGCTTTGAGGAAATTTTATACTTTCTTTGTCTTGAGTGCCACTATTGCCACAGACCTTCATACCATGAAGTTTCTTGGTTAGCTGGAAGAAAGTAATGTTGAATTGATTTGAACTCATGGTAGGGCTAACTAGCAAAAAACTGCAATCCTCAAGTGGATCCTTGTTGGTTCCATTCTTCCTAAAGAAAAAATGAAAGACTAACATCTTACTTTGAAGCAATGAGTAATTTAAGTAAAAACAGGAATGTAACATTGAAATTCTTTAAGGGTGAAAAAGAAAATTTGATAGAGTCCCTCAATGAGCTGAGTTTCATCACAGTATAATAAAATCAACAGCCACCTAAATTCTAAAGAAAAATGGTTGGTGGTGGTGAATTAAGTCTCCAAACTTTGATGCAATGTTACTGAACCAGTCTTGACTCAGTGACTAATTTTTCACCAGTATCAGATTATATGCTGTGCAAATCAGGTTGTAATTTGTCAGATATCAAGTCAGTGTTTTGTCATACCTCCCAGGAATTATTTGTGTTGATACACCCTCAGAATCATTTCAAATGAAATCTGGAACATAAATACATACACCATATTCAGTGACTTGACATAAACATGAGATCAAGGAACAAAATATCAGCCCATATTATAAGTCAAGCTATTGAATAAGGGATTTATTAGGCCTCTATTATTTATATTGTAGTAATTTGGCCGGTTTTAGTTTTCAAAATACATCCACTGGCTTTATCTGAAAATTGTATCTAAGGAATAAGGTGCATGCTACAGATGAAAACATTCAAAAAAAAAAAAGAATCCCCCTGAGAATAATTTTTGTTTTGACTTTTGTTTTTTGCTCTGCTTTTCAGTTTTAATATGTAATGCTGTAGCACATCTTGTGCATTCTGTTACCTTATTATGATAAAATGGTGTAACAGAGAAGTATACACTGATAGATGACATGTTTTGGCCTAACAGTTTGCATGCAAAACTCAAGATGGAGATGTCCATGTTTGGACAGTGTTTGGGCGATTGTAATGTGTCTTTAGGCCAGGTGCTCTATCCTGAGACAATGCAGGAGAGGGTAAGAGGGTTTATACATGGGATGGATAAGCATGTTCTAAATAAGTTGGAGAGGAAAAGATAAATGAGGAATACTAGGCAGCCCAGTTATCATGGATGCTACGTTGTTTCTTTAGATTATGAGCATGAATTATTTACTTAAAATGTTGCATGCATGCATCCGTGAAGTTCACTGGAACTTTGGGGCAAATTCTTAACGTGGAACTAACTCGCACATCTGAACCTATTACTGTTAAAGTTTGCATTCAATTCCATTTAAGACTGAGAAATGGCTACAATACAATTACCTCCAATGATATTTCGATGACTGAGCAATTTTTCATCAGAAGTTGTGGTAAATTTAGGTGTGAATAGCTGGCTAAAGAGGGTAGAATTGTCGTTGGTTTTGGCTGGCCATTAATTCTTTTTGACAGCACTGAATAAACACTGTATCTCATTATCCTGATATTTCAGAAATTGGGAGTACACTTAAAAAAAAAAGAATGAGCATTTTACACATTACTCTATGCAAATGTTAAACTTACTGTAACTTTAAACCATAAATGCCAAGTATTGAAAACATATCAGATAGCCACAGGACTGCTTTACACAGGAAAACCAAAGTGACAACTTTCATCAGGAATTTGATTGCAGCCTGTAGTGCTGTTTTTGATTGTCACCCATCAAAAGCTTTACAGAGTAGAACGATTCATTTTTATGTCATAACAATTCAGTTCCCCACAGAAATTGCTAAAAATATATTGTTCAGTCATGCCAGTCATGGTTAGGAGTGTTGCAGTATACTATGAATATGCGATTTGGAATGTATTTTAATGTGTCAAAACTATTCCTCTAGGTTTAATTTTTATTTTCTTAAAAATGAGACATTTACATTACACCTGGCTTTTTATATCAAGACAGTTATATGACTGTTAGTAATTGTCAGTCTAATGACAAGCCAGCTTTGTTAGTACTGTTTATCGCATTTGGCCATCTTCTATCCCATATCTGATTTACTCTGCATGTAGAGCATATTTTAAAACATTATGGACAAAAATTGTTTTGTCAAAGTTATGGACCAGTACAGATAAAGATCTATTTATGCAATAAGGGTGTTAGCTATTTCCCCCAGTCACACTAACTTATAACTATTATCCTTAACACCTTGTGGGGGTCCAATTGAAAGTAAACACATTAAATGAACTAAATTTTACCTTCTGTTATGTATTATTCATTGTTTTGGCTAAACTAGAGACATATAGAAATCACTCTATGCTTGTGAGCTCTCTCTCAAAACCAATTTTGGTTTGTTTTTTTTTGTGCTGAGTTTCTGATGTCATGCACCACTCGATTTTGTTGACGTCTTTCATTTGGCTTTTTGTGATTGTCATCTCTGTTTTGATTGTGACTGAGATATCTGAGTGAGTTACTTTCCATTTTGACAATTGTAAAACTGAACAGATATCTTGGAATACCATCTGGAAAGCTGAAGAACAATTTATTTTTTGGAAGGAAATTGCTTGGCAGGAGTTGTTTTGTCTACAAAATTAATATCTATAGGGGTGAGGGTGTCCTAATTTTGATTGTAGCTTTTCAGACAGGTGTTGGGACATAATTGAAAAGAAAATTTAATCATCAACAGCTCTGACAATTACTGCCTGTGGAATAGTTTTTTCTAATTATTTATTTGTAAGTTATGGTCACAAAGGCCTAGTCTAAGCCGGTAGCATATGGTTCTGAGGAAATGTAATATTTGGCTTATAAATAATGCTATTTAAAATTCACCAAAAAACAGCAGTGAACAAATGTTTCCTAGTACAATGTAGATGTCAGTGGTATCATACCACAGGATGTATTTTTTGTAATTTTATTGATTAATTTTTCCTCTTTTACTGCATTTTTTCCCACTGAGATCACTTTCCCTACCACTGTGTTTAGATCAGATGCTTTCATGTGTCGAAACATTTTGATTTATGTATTTCTTCAATATCACTGAAGTTACAGATAAATATCAGGTATCACTGCTGGACGTCAGAAGTGTGAGTTGTGAAATTTGGGTGAAAGATCTGTTTCTGGTCAGAAAATTGGGTGGACAGTATTTAAGGCACACAAGGCAATTTTTTTTTGTACTTGTAGACCACATGAAGTGTACCAAAATTTTTTAGAGACTCAAGGGCTACATGTAGCATCTAACTTGTGGTCACTCCTTGGTCTTTGTACTATTTTACATAATAGTTATGGATGATAAAGATATTTAAGAGTTGCTGTAAATTAAGAGCAGATAGGTATCAGTGATTATACTCAGAAACAATGTGAAATAAAATTAAGATTTTTAGTTTCCATTGCAAACATGCATGTACAGGTAACCAGTAGTTTGTCATTCTATAGGAAGTAAGTGGCAGATGTACATTATCTTATTTTTTTTGGTAGTTTTCTCTAAAAATGAAACACTTCATTTGTGTAACTAATTGCACAGTTAAAATTCCTAATGTTGCTTCATGTCATTAACAATTTGGTATGGTTAGCCACAAGACAATTTCATTGTGTAGTCTCACATCCTTGTTGCTCAGGGACAACCTTCAAACCCTCCAAACAAGCAGGGAGGTGTGGAGGAGTGTTCATTATACTAACCATTACAAAAAAAATTTACTTCAGCACTAAAGCTTATCCTGCATTATCCTATTAAAAAATATATAATGAAACAGAACTAGAGCAATTTATTTAGATTCAGCTAGATTTAAACACATCAGTCGATCAGATTGCAGCTTATTCACTAATCAGGGATGTTTTTGCAGCTGCTTTGTCAATTAATAGTCAGCTTGAAACTGTTGGTGTTTAATACATGTATGCATTCTAAAAGTATTTTTGCTAAAGTTGCAGGTTTTAGGGTTCCAAATTGGAAATATTGTTTGCTGCATTCAATTGATATGGAATTTAAGATGCAGTTGTTCACTGCAGAAATAAGTTAAGATGAAAAAGCTAATTAGGGATAGGAACACTGACTCTTGAACTTGGACAGTGATCAGTTTGGTGTTAAGTTTGTTCTCTTGTCCTGAAATGAAATCAAGATTGTTCATGTCAGTCTTAGTCTCACCATTAGCCAACAACTCTTTGTTATGTACACACACTGTACATGTTTATGTTAATCATGTTTGTTGATCTATTTTGTTTCTTGCTTGTTGTTTTGTTATTTTCTTTAGAATTCATAGAAGGAGTTTCACAGTTCAGTGTAAAGGGAGACAAAGAATCCAAGTTAAAATGTAAGTTCAGATGGGTACAGTGCATCAAGAAGGTTAACCCTTTACACCCTAACATCAGTATCCAAATTCTCCATACATTTTTCTATAAATTTCCTATGTTACTGGCAAGGAGAATTTGTTTAGCAATCAAAGTATCTTAGGTTGGCAATCGTTTCCTTTATTCTCATGAACATAGTAAATGATTCAGTAATATTTCTGAAAGGAGAAATTGGATGCTGGTCATTCATAGGGTTTAAAGGGTTAATGATTTACCTAGGTATTAAAAGACTTCTTTCCTTTCTTGAGAACCATACAACTGCATAAGACTGGCTCTTTTTGAAACAACTGCTGTCCTGTGCAAGAAATCCACAACTTTCAGTCTGTGTCAGTCCACTGTTGGGTATGCGAGTCCCTTGCAAGTGTTTGAATGGCAAGCAGACCATTATCATCAAAAGTGCTTACAGTGAATTCAAGTTGTAGATAAATGAAAGATGTCAGAGGAGTAGGAAGTAAATCCATGTGTAGATTAAGCTCTAGGGGTACATGTACCTTTACTTTGCCTCTTGCCGA